CTATTGCTCTAACCCTAACCCTAACCCTAACCCTAACCCTAACCCTAACCCTAACCCTAACCCTAACCCTAACCCTAACCCTAACCCTAACCCTAACCCTAACCCTAACCCTAACCCTAACCCTAACCCTAACCCTAACCCTAACCCTAACCCTAACCCTAACCCTAACCCTAACCCTAACCCTAACCCTAACCCTAACCCTAACCCTAACCCTAACCCTAACCCTAACCCTAACCCTAACCCTAACCCTAACCCTAACCCTAGCCTGGCCTGGCCCTGGCCCTGGCCTGGCCTGGCCTGGCCTGGCCCTGGCCTGGCCTGGCCTGGCCTGGCCCTGGCCTGGCCTGGCCTGGCCTGGCCTGGCCTGGCCCTGGCCCTGGCCTGGCCCTGGCCCTGGCCTGGCCTGGCCTGGCCCTGGCCCTGGCCCTGGCCCTGGCCTGGCCCTGGCCCTGGCCCTGGCCTGGCCTGGCCTGGCTGGCCCCTGGCCCTGGCCCTGGCCCCCTGGCCTGGCCTGGCCCTGGCCTGGCCTGGCCTGGCCTGGCCTGGCCTGGCCTGGCCTGGCCTGGCCTGGCCCTGGCCCTGGCCTGGCCTGGCCTGGCCCTGGCCCTGGCCCTGGCCCTGGCCCTGGCCCTGGCCTGGCCCTGGCCCTGGCCCTGGCCCTGGCCCTGGCCCTGGCCCTGGCCCCTGGCCTGGCCTGGCCCTGGCCCTGGCCCTGGCCCCTGGCCCTGGCCCTGGCCCTGGCCCTGGCCCTGGCCCTGGCCCTGGCCCTGGCCCTGGCCTGGCCCTGGCCCTGGCCTGGCCTGGCCTGGCCCTGGCCCTGGCCTGGCCTGGCCCTGGCCTGGCCCCTGGCCCTGGCCTGGCCTGGCCCTGGCCTGGCCTGGCCTGGCCTGGCCCTGGCCTGGCCCTGGCCCTGGCCCTGGCCCTGGCCTGGCCTGGCCTGGCCTGGCCTGGCCTGGCCCTGGCCCTGGCCCTGGCCCTGGCCCTGGCCCTGGCCCTGGCCCTGGCCTGGCCCTGGCCTGGCCTGGCCCTGGCCCCTGGCCCTGGCCTGGCCCTGGCCCTGGCCCCTGGCCTGGCCCTGGCCTGGCCTGGCCCTGGCCTGGCCTGGCCCTGGCCTGGCCCTGGCCTGGCCCTGGCCTGGCCCTGGCCTGGCCCTGGCCTGGCCTGGCCTGGCCTGGCCTGGCCTGGCCTGGCCTGGCCTGGCCTGGCCTGGCCTGGCCTGGCCTGGCCCCTGGCCTGGCCTGGCCTGGCCTGGCCTGGCCCTGGCCTGGCCTGGCCTGGCCTGGCCTGGCCTGGCCTGGCCTGGCCTGGCCTGGCCTGGCCTGGCCTGGCCTGGCCTGGCCTGGCCTGGCCTGGCCTGGCCTGGCCTGGCCTGGCCTGGCCTGGCCTGGCCTGGCCTGGCCTGGCCTGGCCTGGCCTGGCCTGGCCTGGCCTGGCCTGGCCTGGCCTGGCCTGGCCTGGCCTGGCCTGGCCTGGCCTGGCCTGGCCTGGCCTGCCTGGCCTGGCCTGGCCTGGCCTGGCCTGGCCTGGCCTGGCCTGGCCTGGCCTGGCCTGGCCTGGCCCTGGCCTGGCCTGGCCTGGCCTGGCCTGGCCTGGCCTGGCCTGGCCCTGGCCCTGGCCTGGCCTGGCCTGGCCTGGCCCTGGCCCTGGCCTGGCCTGGCCTGGCCTGGCCTGGCCTGGCCTGGCCTGGCCTGGCCTGGCCTGGCCTGGCCTGGCCTGGCCTGGCCTGGCCTGGCCTGGCCTGGCCTGGCCTGGCCTGGCCCTGGCCTGGCCTGGCCTGGCCCTGGCCTGGCCTGGCCTGGCCTGGCCTGGCCCTGGCCTGGCCTGGCCTGGCCTGGCCTGGCCTGGCCTGGCCTGGCCTGGCCTGGCCTGGCCTGGCCTGGCCTGGCCCTGGCCTGGCCTGGCCTGGCCTGGCCTGGCCTGGCCTGGCCTGGCCTGGCCTGGCCCTGGCCTGGCCTGGCCTGGCCTGGCCCCTGGCCCTGGCCTGGCCTGGCCTGGCCTGGCCTGGCCTGGCCTGGCCTGGCCTGGCCTGGCCTGGCCTGGCCTGGCCTGGCCTGGCCTGGCCTGGCCTGGCCTGGCCTGGCCTGGCCTGGCCTGGCCTGGCCTGGCCTGGCCTGGCCTGGCCTGGCCTGGCCTGGCCTGGCCTGGCCTGGCCTGGCCTGGCCCTGGCCTGGCCTGGCCTGGCCTGGCCTGGCCTGGCCTGGCCTGGCCTGGCCTGGCCTGGCCTGGCCTGGCCTGGCCTGGCCTGGCCTGGCCTGGCCTGGCCTGGCCTGGCCTGGCCTGGCCTGGCCTGGCCTGGCCTGGCCTGGCCTGGCCTGGCCTGGCCTGGCCTGGCCTGGCCTGGCCTGGCCTGGCCTGGCCTGGCCTGGCCTGGCCTGGCCTGGCCTGGCCTGGCCTGGCCTGGCCTGGCCTGGCCTGGCCTGGCCTGGCCTGGCCTGGCCTGGCCTGGCCTGGCCTGGCCTGGCCTGGCCTGGCCTGGCCTGGCCTGGCCTGGCCTGGCCTGGCCTGGCCTGGCCTGGCCTGGCCTGGCCTGGCCTGGCCTGGCCTGGCCTGGCCTGGCCCTGGCCTGGCCTGGCCTGGCCTGGCCTGGCCTGGCCTGGCCTGGCCTGGCCTGGCCTGGCCTGGCCTGGCCTGGCCTGGCCTGGCCTGGCCTGGCCTGGCCTGGCCTGGCCTGGCCTGGCCTGGCCTGGCCTGGCCTGGCCTGGCCTGGCCTGGCCTGGCCTGGCCCTGGCCTGGCCTGGCCTGGCCTGGCCTGGCCTGGCCCTGGCCTGGCCTGGCCCTGGCCTGGCCTGGCCTGGCCTGGCCTGGCTGGCCTGGCCTGGCCTGGCCTGGCCTGGCCTGGCCTGGCCTGGCCTGGCCTGGCCTGGCCTGGCCTGGCCTGGCCTGGCCTGGCCTGGCCTGGCCTGGCCTGGCCTGGCCTGGCCTGGCCTGGCCTGGCCTGGCCTGGCCTGGCCCTGGCCTGGCCTGGCCTGGCCCTGGCCTGGCCTGGCCTGGCCTGGCCTGGCCTGGCCTGGCCCTGGCCTGGCCCTGGCCTGGCCTGGCCTGGCCTGGCCTGGCCTGGCCTGGCCTGGCCTGGCCTGGCCTGGCCTGGCCTGGCCCTGGCCTGGCCTGGCCTGGCCTGGCCTGGCCTGGCCTGGCCTGGCCTGGCCTGGCCTGGCCTGGCCTGGCCTGGCCTGGCCTGGCCTGGCCTGGCCTGGCCTGGCCTGGCCTGGCCTGGCCTGGCCTGGCCTGGCCTGGCCTGGCCTGGCCTGGCCTGGCCTGGCCTGGCCTGGCCTGGCCTGGCCTGGCCTGGCCTGGCCTGGCCTGGCCTGGCCTGGCCTGGCCTGGCCTGGCCTGGCCTGGCCTGGCCTGGCCTGGCCTGGCCTGGCCTGGCCTGGCCTGGCCTGGCCTGGCCTGGCCTGGCCTGGCCTGGCCTGGCCTGGCCTGGCCTGGCCTGGCCTGGCCTGGCCTGGCCTGGCCTGGCCTGGCCTGGCCTGGCCTGGCCTGGCCCTGGCCTGGCCTGGCCTGGCCTGGCCTGGCCTGGCCTGGCCTGGCCTGGCCTGGCCTGGCCTGGCCTGGCCTGGCCTGGCCTGGCCTGGCCTGGCCTGGCCTGGCCTGGCCTGGCCTGGCCTGGCCTGGCCTGGCCTGGCCTGGCCTGGCCTGGCCTGGCCTGGCCTGGCCTGGCCTGGCCTGGCCTGGCCTGGCCTGGCCTGGCCTGGCCTGGCCTGGCCTGGCCTGGCCTGGCCTGGCCTGGCCTGGCCTGGCCTGGCCTGGCCTGGCCTGGCCTGGCCTGGCCTGGCCTGGCCTGGCCTGGCCTGGCCTGGCCTGGCCCTGGCCTGGCCTGGCCTGGCCTGGCCTGGCCTGGCCTGGCCTGGCCTGGCCTGGCCTGGCCTGGCCTGGCCTGGCCTGGCCTGGCCTGGCCTGGCCTGGCCTGGCCTGGCCTGGCCTGGCCTGGCCTGGCCTGGCCTGGCCTGGCCTGGCCTGGCCTGGCCTGGCCTGGCCTGGCCTGGCCTGGCCTGGCCTGGCCTGGCCTGGCCTGGCCTGGCCTGGCCTGGCCTGGCCTGGCCTGGCCTGGCCTGGCCTGGCCTGGCCTGGCCCTGGCCTGGCCTGGCCTGGCCTGGCCTGGCCTGGCCTGGCCTGGCCTGGCCTGGCCTGGCCTGGCCTGGCCTGGCCTGGCCTGGCCTGGCCCCTGGCCTGGCCTGGCCTGGCCTGGCCTGGCCTGGCCTGGCCTGGCCTGGCCTGGCCTGGCCTGGCCTGGCCTGGCCTGGCCTGGCCTGGCCTGGCCTGGCCTGGCCTGGCCTGGCCCTGGCCTGGCCTGGCCTGGCCTGGCCTGGCCTGGCCTGGCCTGGCCTGGCCTGGCCTGGCCTGGCCTGGCCTGGCCTGGCCTGGCCTGGCCTGGCCTGGCCTGGCCTGGCCTGGCCTGGCCTGGCCTGGCCTGGCCTGGCCTGGCCTGGCCTGGCCTGGCCTGGCCTGGCCTGGCCTGGCCTGGCCTGGCCTGGCCTGGCCTGGCCTGGCCTGGCCTGGCCTGGCCTGGCCTGGCCTGGCCTGGCCTGGCCTGGCCTGGCCTGGCCTGGCCTGGCCTGGCCTGGCCTGGCCTGGCCTGGCCTGGCCCTGGCCTGGCCTGGCCTGGCCTGGCCTGGCCTGGCCTGGCCTGGCCTGGCCTGGCCTGGCCTGGCCTGGCCCTGGCCTGGCCTGGCCTGGCCTGGCCTGGCCTGGCCTGGCCTGGCCTGGCCTGGCCTGGCCTGGCCTGGCCTGGCCTGGCCTGGCCTGGCCTGGCCTGGCCTGGCCTGGCCTGGCCTGGCCCTGGCCTGGCCTGGCCTGGCCTGGCCTGGCCTGGCCCTGGCCTGGCCTGGCCTGGCCCTGGCCTGGCCTGGCCTGGCCTGGCCCTGGCCTGGCCTGGCCTGGCCTGGCCTGGCCTGGCCTGGCTGGCCTGGCCTGGCCTGGCCTGGCCTGGCCTGGCCTGGCCTGGCCTGGCCTGGCCTGGCCTGGCCTGGCCTGGCCTGGCCTGGCCTGGCCTGGCCTGGCCTGGCCTGGCCTGGCCTGGCCTGGCCTGGCCTGGCCTGGCCTGGCCTGGCCTGGCCTGGCCTGGCCTGGCCTGGCCTGGCCTGGCCTGGCCTGGCCTGGCCTGGCCTGGCCTGGCCTGGCCTGGCCTGGCCTGGCCTGGCCTGGCCTGGCCTGGCCTGGCCTGGCCTGGCCCTGGCCTGGCCTGGCCTGGCCTGGCCTGGCCTGGCCTGGCCTGGCCTGGCCTGGCCTGGCCTGGCCTGGCCTGGCCTGGCCTGGCCTGGCCTGGCCTGGCCTGGCCTGGCCTGGCCTGGCCTGGCCTGGCCTGGCCTGGCCTGGCCTGGCCTGGCCTGGCCTGGCCTGGCCCTGGCCTGGCCTGGCCCCCTGGCCTGGCCTGGCCCCTGGCCTGGCCTGGCCTGGCCTGGCCTGGCCTGGCCTGGCCTGGCTGGCCCTGGCCTGGCCTGGCCTGGCCTGGCCTGGCCTGGCCTGGCCTGGCCTGGCCTGGCCTGGCCTGGCCTGGCCTGGCCTGGCCTGGCCTGGCCTGGCCTGGCCTGGCCCTGGCCTGGCCTGGCCTGGCCTGGCCTGGCCTGGCCTGGCCTGGCCTGGCCTGGCCTGGCCTGGCCTGGCCTGGCCTGGCCTGGCCTGGCCTGGCCTGGCCTGGCCTGGCCTGGCCTGGCCCTGGCCCTGGCCTGGCCTGGCCTGGCCTGGCCTGGCCTGGCCTGGCCTGGCCCTGGCCTGGCCTGGCCTGGCCTGGCCTGGCCTGGCCTGGCCTGGCCTGGCCTGGCCTGGCCTGGCCTGGCCTGGCCTGGCCTGGCCTGGCCTGGCCTGGCCTGGCCTGGCCTGGCCTGGCCTGGCCTGGCCTGGCCTGGCCTGGCCTGGCCTGGCCTGGCCTGGCCTGGCCTGGCCTGGCCTGGCCTGGCCTGGCCTGGCCTGGCCTGGCCTGGCCTGGCCTGGCCTGGCCTGGCCTGGCCTGGCCTGGCCTGGCCTGGCCTGGCCTGGCCTGGCCTGGCCTGGCCTGGCCTGGCCTGGCCTGGCCTGGCCTGGCCTGGCCTGGCCCTGGCCTGGCCTGGCCTGGCCTGGCCTGGCCTGGCCTGGCCTGGCCTGGCCTGGCCTGGCCTGGCCCTGGCCTGGCCTGGCCTGGCCTGGCCTGGCCTGGCCTGGCCTGGCCTGGCCTGGCCTGGCCTGGCCTGGCCTGGCCTGGCCTGGCCTGGCCTGGCCTGGCCTGGCCTGGCCTGGCCCTGGCCTGGCCTGGCCTGGCCTGGCCTGGCCTGGCCTGGCCTGGCCTGGCCTGGCCTGGCCTGGCCTGGCCTGGCCTGGCCTGGCCTGGCCTGGCCTGGCCTGGCCTGGCCTGGCCTGGCCTGGCCTGGCCTGGCCTGGCCTGGCCTGGCCTGGCCTGGCCTGGCCTGGCCTGGCCTGGCCTGGCCTGGCCTGGCCTGGCCTGGCCTGGCCTGGCCTGGCCTGGCCTGGCCTGGCCTGGCCTGGCCTGGCCTGGCCTGGCCTGGCCTGGCCTGGCCTGGCCTGGCCTGGCCTGGCCTGGCCTGGCCTGGCCTGGCCTGGCCTGGCCTGGCCTGGCCTGGCCTGGCCTGGCCTGGCCTGGCCTGGCCTGGCCCCTGGCCTGGCCTGGCCTGGCCTGGCCTGGCCTGGCCTGGCCTGGCCTGGCCTGGCCTGGCCTGGCCCTGGCCTGGCCTGGCCTGGCCTGGCCTGGCCCTGGCCTGGCCTGGCCTGGCCTGGCCTGGCCTGGCCTGGCCTGGCCTGGCCTGGCCTGGCCTGGCCTGGCCTGGCCTGGCCTGGCCTGGCCTGGCCTGGCCCTGGCCTGGCCTGGCCCTGGCCTGGCCTGGCCCTGGCCTGGCCTGGCCTGGCCTGGCCTGGCCTGGCCTGGCCTGGCCTGGCCTGGCCCTGGCCTGGCCTGGCCTGGCCTGGCCTGGCCCTGGCCCTGGCCCTGGCCTGGCCCTGGCCTGGCCTGGCCTGGCCTGGCCCCTGGCCCTGGCCTGGCCTGGCCTGGCCTGGCCTGGCCTGGCCTGGCCTGGCCCCTGGCCCTGGCCCTGGCCCTGGCCTGGCCCTGGCCTGGCCTGGCCTGGCCTGGCCCTGGCCCTGGCCTGGCCTGGCCTGGCCTGGCCTGGCCCTGGCCTGGCCTGGCCCTGGCCTGGCCCTGGCCTGGCCTGGCCTGGCCCTGGCCCTGGCCTGGCCTGGCCCTGGCCCTGGCCCTGGCCTGGCCTGGCCCTGGCCCTGGCCCCTGGCCCTGGCCTGGCCGTGGACCCTGCGCCCTGGCCTGGCCTGGCCTGGCCCCCTGGCCTGGCCTCAAATGGCCTAGGAAATGGCCTGAAACGTGCTCACAATGCATTTTCAACAGTTCCAGACAAGTACAACACTTGCAAACACTGACTTTGGCCATTTTCCGCTCCCATTCATTTTCAATGGGAAATTTTCACTTCGCCATAACTTTTGATAGGAATGTCCGATCGCTGGTTCATTACTATTTCTAGATTCAGCATACCCGAAAATGGGGGGGTAGACCAAATCTCAGCCCGGTTCATCATTGGGAAAGGCAATGAACCGGCATGTCAAAAGTGGCACATATCCCTATATCCTGCCCCAAAGCTCCAACCCCGAAAACTTCACCCAAATCAGGTTCTATGGACTCCCCGTGGCCTGAAACGTGCTCCTAACACAATTCTGGAAGGTGAAAAATTGGGTCCGCACTTAGGAAAATCTTCAGATTTTGGGAAAATCTTCACATTTTCCTAACCCTAACCCTAACCCTAGCTCCAACCCTAACCCTAACCCTAGCTCCAACCCTAACCCTAACCCTAGCTCCACAACTAACCCTAACCCTAGCTCCAGCCCTAACCCTAACCCCTTGCCCAAAGTCTCACCCTAACCCTAACCGTCGGACATGTGCAGCGCCACCTCTGGTCAAAAGCGGTATGACACCCCTTTTGCAAAGTCGCCCTCAAATGACAGGAAATGGCCTGAAACGTGCTCACAATGCATTTTCAACAGTTCCAGACAAGTACAACACTTGCAAACACTGACTTTGGCCATTTTTCCGCTCCCATTCATTTTCAATGGGAAATTTTCACTTCGCCATAACTTTTGATAGGAATGTCCGATCGCTGGTTCATTACTATTTCTAGATTCAGCATACCCGAAAATGGGGGGGTAGACCAAATCTCAGCCCGGTTCATCATTGGGAAAGGCAATGAACCGGCATGTCAAAAGTGGCACATATCCCTATATCCTGCCCCAAAGCTCCAACCCCGAAAACTTCACCCACAATCAGGTTCTATGGACTCCCCGTGGCCTGAAACGTGCTCCTAACACAATTCTGGAAGGTGAAAAATTGGGTCCGCACTTAGGAAAATCTTCAGATTTTGGGAAAATCTTCACATTTTCCTAACCCTAACCCTAACCCTAGCTCCAACCCTAACCCTAACCCTAGCTCCAACCCTAGCTCCACAACTAACCCTAACCATAGCTCCAGCCCTAACCCTAACCCCTTGCCCAAAGTCTCACCCTAACCCTAACCGTCGGACATGTGCAGCGCCACCTCTGGTCAAAAGCGGTATGACACCCCTTTTGCAAAGTCGCCCTCAAATGACAGGAAATGGCCTGAAACGTGCTCACAATGCATTTTCAACATTTCCAGACAAGTACAACACTTGCAAACACTGACTTTGGCCATTTTTCCGCTCCCATTCATTTTCAATGGGAAATTTTCACTTCGCCATAACTTTTGATAGGAATGTCCGATCGCTGGTTCATTACTATTTCTAGATTCAGCATACCCGAAAATGGGGGGTAGACCAAATCTCAGCCCGGTTCATCATTGGGAAAGGCAATGAACCGGCATGTCAAAAGTGGCACATATCCCTATATCCTGCCCCAAAGCTCCAACCCCCGAAAACTTCACCCACAATCAGGTTCTATGGACTCCCCGTGGCCTGAAACGTGCTCCTAACACAATTCTGGAAGGTGAAAAATTGGGTCCGCACTTAGGAAAATCTTCAGATTTTGGGAAAATCTTCACATTTTCCTAACCCTAACCCTAACCCTAGCTCCAACCCTAACCCTAACCCTAGCTCCAACCCTAGCTCCACAACTAACCCTAACCATAGCTCCAGCCCTAACCCTAACCCCTTGCCCAAAGTCTCACCCTAACCCTAACCGTCGGACATGTGCAGCGCCACCTCTGGTCAAAAGCGGTAGGACACCCCTTTTGCAAAGTCGCCCTCAAATGACAGGAAATGGCCTGAAACGTGCTCACAATGCATTTTCAACATTTCCAGACAAGTAGAACACTTGCAAACACTGACTTTGGCCATTTTTCCGCTCCCATTCATCTTCAATGGGAAATTTTCACTTCGCCATAACTTTTGATAGGAATGTCCGATCGCTGGTTCATTACTATTTCTAGATTCAGCATACCCGAAAATGGGGGGGTAGACCAAATCTCAGCCCGGTTCATCATTGGGAAAGGCAATGAACCGGCATGTCAAAAGTGGCACATATCCCTATATCCTGCCCCAAAGCTCCAACCCCGAAAACTTCACCCACAATCAGGTTCTATGGACTCCCCGTGGCCTGAAACGTGCTCCTAACACAATTCTGGAAGGTGAAAAATTGGGTCCGCACTTAGGAAAATCTTCAGATTTTGGGAAAATCTTCACATTTTCCTAACCCTAACCCTAACCCTAGCTCCAACCCTAACCCTAACCCTAGCTCCAACCCTAGCTCCACAACTAACCCTAACCATAGCTCCAGCCCTAACCCTAACCCCTTGCCCAAAGTCTCACCCTAACCCTAACCGTCGGACATGTGCAGCGCCACCTCTGGTCAAAAGCGGTAGGACACCCCTTTTTGCAAAGTCGCCCTCAAATGACAGGAAATGGCCTGAAACGTGCTCACAATGCATTTTCAACATTTCCAGACAAGTAGAACACTTGCAAACACTGACTTTGGCCATTTTTCCGCTCCCATTCATCTTCAATGGGAAATTTTCACTTCGCCATAACTTTTGATAGGAATGTCCGATCGCTGGTTCATTACTATTTCTAGATTCAGCATACCCGAAAATGGGGGGTAGACCAAATCTCAGCCCGGTTCATCATTGGGAAAGGCAATGAACCGGCATGTCAAAAGTGGCACATATCCCTATATCCTGCCCCAAAGCTCCAACCCCCGAAAACTTCACCCACAATCAGGTTCTATGGACTCCCCGTGGCCTGAAACGTGCTCCTAACACAATTCTGGAAGGTGAAAAATTGGGTCCGCACTTAGGAAAATCTTCAGATTTTGGGAAAATCTTCACATTTTCCTAACCCTAACCCTAACCCTAGCTCCAACCCTAACCCTAACCCTAGCTCCAACCCTAGCTCCACAACTAACCCTAACCATAGCTCCAGCCCTAACCCTAACCCCTTGCCCAAAGTCTCACCCTAACCCTAACCGTCGGACATGTGCAGCGCCACCTCTGGTCAAAAGCGGTAGGACACCCCTTTTGCAAAGTCGCCCTCAAATGACAGGAAATGGCCTGAAACGTGCTCACAATGCATTTTCAACATTTCCAGACAAGTACAACACTTGCAAACACTGACTTTGGCCATTTTTCCGCTCCCATTCATCTTCAATGGGAAATTTTCACTTCGCCATAACTTTTGATAGGAATGTCCGATCGCTGGTTCATTACTATTTCTAGATTCAGCATACCCGAAAATGGGGGGTAGACCAAATCTCAGCCCGGTTCATCATTGGGAAAGGCAATGAACCGGCATGTCAAAAGTGGCACATATCCCTATATCCTGCCCCAAAGCTCCAACCCCCGAAAACTTCACCCACAATCAGGTTCTATGGACTCCCCGTGGCCTGAAACGTGCTCCTAACACAATTCTGGAAGGTGAAAAATTGGGTCCGCACTTAGGAAAATCTTCAGATTTTGGGAAAATCTTCACATTTTCCTAACCCTAACCCTAACCCTAGCTCCAACCCTAACCCTAACCCTAGCTCCAACCCTAGCTCCACAACTAACCCTAACCATAGCTCCAGCCCTAACCCTAACCCCTTGCCCAAAGTCTCACCCTAACCCTAACCGTCGGACATGTGCAGCGCCACCTCTGGTCAAAAGCGGTAGGACACCCCTTTTTGCAAAGTCGCCCTCAAATGACAGGAAATGGCCTGAAACGTGCTCACAATGCATTTTCAACATTTCCAGACAAGTACAACACTTGCAAACACTGACTTTGGCCATTTTTCCGCTCCCATTCATCTTCAATGGGAAATTTTCACTTCGCCATAACTTTTGATAGGAATGTCCGATCGCTGGTTCATTACTATTTCTAGATTCAGCATACCCGAAAATGGGGGGTAGACCAAATCTCAGCCCGGTTCATCATTGGGAAAGGCAATGAACCGGCATGTCAAAAGTGGCACATATCCCTATATCCTGCCCCAAAGCTCCAACCCCCGAAAACTTCACCCACAATCAGGTTCTATGGACTCCCCGTGGCCTGAAACGTGCTCCTAACACAATTCTGGAAGGTGAAAAATTGGGTCCGCACTTAGGAAAATCTTCAGATTTTGGGAAAATCTTCACATTTTCCTAACCCTAACCCTAACCCTAGCTCCAACCCTAACCCTAACCCTAGCTCCAACCCTAGCTCCACAACTAACCCTAACCATAGCTCCAGCCCTAACCCTAACCCCTTGCCCAAAGTCTCACCCTAACCCTAACCGTCGGACATGTGCAGCGCCACCTCTGGTCAAAAGCGGTAGGACACCCCTTTTGCAAAGTCGCCCTCAAATGACAGGAAATGGCCTGAAACGTGCTCACAATGCATTTTCAACATTTCCAGACAAGTAGAACACTTGCAAACACTGACTTTGGCCATTTTTCCGCTCCCATTCATCTTCAATGGGAAATTTTCACTTCGCCATAACTTTTGATAGGAATGTCCGATCGCTGGTTCATTACTATTTCTAGATTCAGCATACCCGAAAATGGGGGGTAGACCAAATCTCAGCCCGGTTCATCATTGGGAAAGGCAATGAACCGGCATGTCAAAAGTGGCACATATCCCTATATCCTGCCCCAAAGCTCCAACCCCCGAAAACTTCACCCACAATCAGGTTCTATGGACTCCCCGTGGCCTGAAACGTGCTCCTAACACAATTCTGGAAGGTGAAAAATTGGGTCCGCACTTAGGAAAATCTTCAGATTTTGGGAAAATCTTCACATTTTCCTAACCCTAACCCTAACCCTAGCTCCAACCCTAACCCTAACCCTAGCTCCAACCCTAGCTCCACAACTAACCCTAACCATAGCTCCAGCCCTAACCCTAACCCCTTGCCCAAAGTCTCACCCTAACCCTAACCGTCGGACATGTGCAGCGCCACCTCTGGTCAAAAGCGGTAGGACACCCCTTTTGCAAAGTCGCCCTCAAATGACAGGAAATGGCCTGAAACGTGCTCACAATGCATTTTCAACATTTCCAGACAAGTAGAACACTTGCAAACACTGACTTTGGCCATTTTTCCGCTCCCATTCATCTTCAATGGGAAATTTTCACTTCGCCATAACTTTTGATAGGAATGTCCGATCGCTGGTTCATTACTATTTCTAGATTCAGCATACCCGAAAATGGGGGGGTAGACCAAATCTCAGCCCGGTTCATCATTGGGAAAGGCAATGAACCGGCATGTCAAAAGTGGCACATATCCCTATATCCTGCCCCAAAGCTCCAACCCCCGAAAACTTCACCCACAATCAGGTTCTATGGACTCCCCGTGGCCTGAAACGTGCTCCTAACACAATTCTGGAAGGTGAAAAATTGGGTCCGCACTTAGGAAAATCTTCAGATTTTGGGAAAATCTTCACATTTTCCTAACCCTAACCCTAACCCTAGCTCCAACCCTAACCCTAACCCTAGCTCCAACCCTAGCTCCACAACTAACCCTAACCATAGCTCCAGCCCTAACCCTAACCCCTTGCCCAAAGTCTCACCCTAACCCTAACCGTCGGACATGTGCAGCGCCACCTCTGGTCAAAAGCGGTAGGACACCCCTTTTGCAAAGTCGCCCTCAAATGACAGGAAATGGCCTGAAACGTGCTCACAATGCATTTTCAACATTTCCAGACAAGTAGAACACTTGCAAACACTGACTTTGGCCATTTTTCCGCTCCCATTCATCTTCAATGGGAAATTTTCACTTCGCCATAACTTTTGATAGGAATGTCCGATCGCTGGTTCATTACTATTTCTAGATTCAGCATACCCGAAAATGGGGGGTAGACCAAATCTCAGCCCGGTTCATCATTGGGAAAGGCAATGAACCGGCATGTCAAAAGTGGCACATATCCCTATATCCTGCCCCAAAGCTCCAACCCCCGAAAACTTCACCCACAATCAGGTTCTATGGACTCCCCGTGGCCTGAAACGTGCTCCTAACACAATTCTGGAAGGTGAAAAATTGGGTCCGCACTTAGGAAAATCTTCAGATTTTGGGAAAATCTTCACATTTTCCTAACCCTAACCCTAACCCTAGCTCCAACCCTAACCCTAACCCTAGCTCCAACCCTAGCTCCACAACTAACCCTAACCATAGCTCCAGCCCTAACCCTAACCCCTTGCCCAAAGTCTCACCCTAACCCTAACCGTCGGACATGTGCAGCGCCACCTCTGGTCAAAAGCGGTAGGACACCCCTTTTGCAAAGTCGCCCTCAAATGACAGGAAATGGCCTGAAACGTGCTCACAATGCATTTTCAACATTTCCAGACAAGTAGAACACTTGCAAACACTGACTTTGGCCATTTTTCCGCTCCCATTCATCTTCAATGGGAAATTTTCACTTCGCCATAACTTTTGATAGGAATGTCCGATCGCTGGTTCATTACTATTTCTAGATTCAGCATACCCGAAAATGGGGGGGTAGACCAAATCTCAGCCCGGTTCATCATTGGGAAAGGCAATGAACCGGCATGTCAAAAGTGGCACATATCCCTATATCCTGCCCCAAAGCTCCAACCCCCGAAAACTTCACCCACAATCAGGTTCTATGGACTCCCCGTGGCCTGAAACGTGCTCCTAACACAATTCTGGAAGGTGAAAAATTGGGTCCGCACTTAGGAAAATCTTCAGATTTTGGGAAAATCTTCACATTTTCCTAACCCTAACCCTAACCCTAGCTCCAACCCTAACCCTAACCCTAGCTCCAACCCTAGCTCCACAACTAACCCTAACCATAGCTCCAGCCCTAACCCTAACCCCTTGCCCAAAGTCTCACCCTAACCCTAACCGTCGGACATGTGCAGCGCCACCTCTGGTCAAAAGCGGTAGGACACCCCTTTTGCAAAGTCGCCCTCAAATGACAGGAAATGGCCTGAAACGTGCTCACAATGCATTTTCAACATTTCCAGACAAGTAGAACACTTGCAAACACTGACTTTGGCCATTTTTCCGCTCCCATTCATCTTCAATGGGAAATTTTCACTTCGCCATAACTTTTGATAGGAATGTCCGATCGCTGGTTCATTACTATTTCTAGATTCAGCATACCCGAAAATGGGGGGTAGACCAAATCTCAGCCCGGTTCATCATTGGGAAAGGCAATGAACCGGCATGTCAAAAGTGGCACATATCCCTATATCCTGCCCCAAAGCTCCAACCCCCGAAAACTTCACCCACAATCAGGTTCTATGGACTCCCCGTGGCCTGAAACGTGCTCCTAACACAATTCTGGAAGGTGAAAAATTGGGTCCGCACTTAGGAAAATCTTCAGATTTTGGGAAAATCTTCACATTTTCCTAACCCTAACCCTAACCCTAGCTCCAACCCTAACCCTAACCCTAGCTCCAACCCTAGCTCCACAACTAACCCTAACCATAGCTCCAGCCCTAACCCTAACCCCTTGCCCAAAGTCTCACCCTAACCCTAACCGTCGGACATGTGCAGCGCCACCTCTGGTCAAAAGCGGTAGGACACCCCTTTTTGCAAAGTCGCCCTCAAATGACAGGAAATGGCCTGAAACGTGCTCACAATGCATTTTCAACATTTCCAGACAAGTAGAACACTTGCAAACACTGACTTTGGCCATTTTTCCGCTCCCATTCATCTTCAATGGGAAATTTTCACTTCGCCATAACTTTTGATAGGAATGTCCGATCGCTGGTTCATTACTATTTCTAGATTCAGCATACCCGAAAATGGGGGGTAGACCAAATCTCAGCCCGGTTCATCATTGGGAAAGGCAATGAACCGGCATGTCAAAAGTGGCACATATCCCTATATCCTGCCCCAAAGCTCCAACCCCCGAAAACTTCACCCACAATCAGGTTCTATGGACTCCCCGTGGCCTGAAACGTGCTCCTAACACAATTCTGGAAGGTGAAAAATTGGGTCCGCACTTAGGAAAATCTTCAGATTTTGGGAAAATCTTCACATTTTCCTAACCCTAACCCTAACCCTAGCTCCAACCCTAACCCTAACCCTAGCTCCAACCCTAGCTCCACAACTAACCCTAACCATAGCTCCAGCCCTAACCCTAACCCCTTGCCCAAAGTCTCACCCTAACCCTAACCGTCGGACATGTGCAGCGCCACCTCTGGTCAAAAGCGGTAGGACACCCCTTTTTGCAAAGTCGCCCTCAAATGACAGGAAATGGCCTGAAACGTGCTCACAATGCATTTTCAACATTTCCAGACAAGTAGAACACTTGCAAACACTGACTTTGGCCATTTTCCGCTCCCATTCATCTTCAATGGGAAATTTTCACTTCGCCATAACTTTTGATAGGAATGTCCGATCGCTGGTTCATTACTATTTCTAGATTCAGCATACCCGAAAATGGGGGGTAGACCAAATCTCAGCCCGGTTCATCATTGGGAAAGGCAATGAACCGGCATGTCAAAAGTGGCACATATCCCTATATCCTGCCCCAAAGCTCCAACCCCCGAAAACTTCACCCACAATCAGGTTCTATGGACTCCCCGTGGCCTGAAACGTGCTCCTAACACAATTCTGGAAGGTGAAAAATTGGGTCCGCACTTAGGAAAATCTTCAGATTTTGGGAAAATCTTCACATTTTCCTAACCCTAACCCTAACCCTAGCTCCAACCCTAACCCTAACCCTAGCTCCAACCCTAGCTCCACAACTAACCCTAACCATAGCTCCAGCCCTAACCCTAACCCCTTGCCCAAAGTCTCACCCTAACCCTAACCGTCGGACATGTGCAGCGCCACCTCTGGTCAAAAGCGGTAGGACACCCCTTTTGCAAAGTCGCCCTCAAATGACAGGAAATGGCCTGAAACGTGCTCACAATGCATTTTCAACATTTCCAGACAAGTAGAACACTTGCAAACACTGACTTTGGCCATTTTTCCGCTCCCATTCATCTTCAATGGGAAATTTTCACTCTTCGCCATAACTTTTGATAGGAATGTCCGATCGCTGGTTCATTACTATTTCTAGATTCAGCATACCCGAAAATGGGGGGTAGACCAAATCTCAGCCCGGTTCATCATTGGGAAAGGCAATGAACCGGCATGTCAAAAGTGGCACATATCCCTATATCCTGCCCCAAAGCTCCAACCCCCGAAAACTTCACCCACAATCAGGTTCTATGGACTCCCCGTGGCCTGAAACGTGCTCCTAACACAATTCTGGAAGGTGAAAAATTGGGTCCGCACTTAGGAAAATCTTCAGATTTTGGGAAAATCTTCACATTTTCCTAACCCTAACCCTAACCCTAGCTCCAACCCTAACCCTAACCCTAGCTCCAACCCTAGCTCCACAACTAACCCTAACCATAGCTCCAGCCCTAACCCTAACCCCTTGCCCAAAGTCTCACCCTAACCCTAACCGTCGGACATGTGCAGCGCCACCTCTGGTCAAAAGCGGTAGGACACCCCTTTTGCAAAGTCGCCCTCAAATGACAGGAAATGGCCTGAAACGTGCTCACAATGCATTTTCAACATTTCCAGACAAGTAGAACACTTGCAAACACTGACTTTGGCCATTTTTCCGCTCCCATTCATCTTCAATGGGAAATTTTCACTTCGCCATAACTTTTGATAGGAATGTCCGATCGCTGGTTCATTACTATTTCTAGATTCAGCATACCCGAAAATGGGGGGTAGACCAAATCTCAGCCCGGTTCATCATTGGGAAAGGCAATGAACCGGCATGTCAAAAGTGGCACATATCCCTATATCCTGCCCCAAAGCTCCAACCCCCGAAAACTTCACCCACAATCAGGTTCTATGGACTCCCCGTGGCCTGAAACGTGCTCCTAACACAATTCTGGAAGGTGAAAAATTGGGTCCGCACTTAGGAAAATCTTCAGATTTTGGGAAAATCTTCACATTTTCCTAACCCTAACCCTAACCCTAGCTCCAACCCTAACCCTAACCCTAGCTCCAACCCTAGCTCCACAACTAACCCTAACCATAGCTCCAGCCCTAACCCTAACCCCTTGCCCAAAGTCTCACCCTAACCCTAACCGTCGGACATGTGCAGCGCCACCTCTGGTCAAAAGCGGTAGGACACCCCTTTTGCAAAGTCGCCCTCAAATGACAGGAAATGGCCTGAAACGTGCTCACAATGCATTTTCAACATTTCCAGACAAGTAGAACACTTGCAAACACTGACTTTGGCCATTTTTCCGCTCCCATTCATCTTCAATGGGAAATTTTCACTTCGCCATAACTTTTGATAGGAATGTCCGATCGCTGGTTCATTACTATTTCTAGATTCAGCATACCCGAAAATGGGGGGTAGACCAAATCTCAGCCCGGTTCATCATTGGGAAAGGCAATGAACCGGCATGTCAAAAGTGGCACATATCCCTATATCCTGCCCCAAAGCTCCAACCCCCGAAAACTTCACCCACAATCAGGTTCTATGGACTCCCCGTGGCCTGAAACGTGCTCCTAACACAATTCTGGAAGGTGAAAAATTGGGTCCGCACTTAGGAAAATCTTCAGATTTTGGGAAAATCTTCACATTTTCCTAACCCTAACCCTAACCCTAGCTCCAACCCTAACCCTAACCCTAGCTCCAACCCTAGCTCCACAACTAACCCTAACCATAGCTCCAGCCCTAACCCTAACCCCTTGCCCAAAGTCTCACCCTAACCCTAACCGTCGGACATGTGCAGCGCCACCTCTGGTCAAAAGCGGTAGGACACCCCTTTTTGCAAAGTCGCCCTCAAATGACAGGAAATGGCCTGAAACGTGCTCACAATGCATTTTCAACATTTCCAGACAAGTAGAACACTTGCAAACACTGACTTTGGCCATTTTTCCGCTCCCATTCATCTTCAATGGGAAATTTTCACTTCGCCATAACTTTTGATAGGAATGTCCGATCGCTGGTTCATTACTATTTCTAGATTCAGCATACCCGAAAATGGGGGGTAGACCAAATCTCAGCCCGGTTCATCATTGGGAAAGGCAATGAACCGGCATGTCAAAAGTGGCACATATCCCTATATCCTGCCCCAAAGCTCCAACCCCCGAAAACTTCACCCACAATCAGGTTCTATGGACTCCCCGTGGCCTGAAACGTGCTCCTAACACAATTCTGGAAGGTGAAAAATTGGGTCCGCACTTAGGAAAATCTTCAGATTTTGGGAAAATCTTCACATTTTCCTAACCCTAACCCTAACCCTAGCTCCAACCCTAACCCTAACCCTAGCTCCAACCCTAGCTCCACAACTAACCCTAACCATAGCTCCAGCCCTAACCCTAACCCCTTGCCCAAAGTCTCACCCTAACCCTAACCGTCGGACATGTGCAGCGCCACCTCTGGTCAAAAGCGGTAGGACACCCCTTTTGCAAAGTCGCCCTCAAATGACAGGAAATGGCCTGAAACGTGCTCACAATGCATTTTCAACATTTCCAGACAAGTAGAACACTTGCAAACACTGACTTTGGCCATTTTTCCGCTCCCATTCATCTTCAATGGGAAATTTTCACTTCGCCATAACTTTTGATAGGAATGTCCGATCGCTGGTTCATTACTATTTCTAGATTCAGCATACCCGAAAATGGGGGGTAGACCAAATCTCAGCCCGGTTCATCATTGGGAAAGGCAATGAACCGGCATGTCAAAAGTGGCACATATCCCTATATCCTGCCCCAAAGCTCCAACCCCCGAAAACTTCACCCACAATCAGGTTCTATGGACTCCCCGTGGCCTGAAACGTGCTCCTAACACAATTCTGGAAGGTGAAAAATTGGGTCCGCACTTAGGAAAATCTTCAGATTTTGGGAAAATCTTCACATTTTCCTAACCCTAACCCTAACCCTAGCTCCAACCCTAACCCTAACCCTAGCTCCAACCCTAGCTCCACCACTAACCCTAACCATAGCTCCAGCCCTAACCCTAACCCCTTGCCCAAAGTCTCACCCTAACCCTAACCGTCGGACATGTGCAGCACCACCTCTGGTCAAAAGCGGTAGGACACCCCTTTTTGCAAAGTCGCCCTCAAATGACAGGAAATGGCCTGAAACGTGCTCACAATGCATTTTCAACATTTCCAGACAAGTAGAACACTTGCAAACACTGACTTTGGCCATTTTTCCGCTCCCATTCATTTTCAATGGGAAATTTTCACTTCGCCATAACTTTTGATAGGAATGTCCGATCGCTGGTTCATTACTATTTCTAGATTCAGCATACCCGAAAATGGGGGGGTAGACCAAATCTCAGCCCGGTTCATCATTGGGAAAGGCAATGAACCGGCATGTCAAAAGTGGCACATATCCCTATATCCTAACCCTAACCCTAACCCTAACCCTAACCCTAACCCTAACCCCTAACCCTAACCCTAACCCTAACCCTAACCCTAACCCTAACCCTAACCCTAACCCTAACCCTAACCCTAACCCTAACCCTAACCCCTAACCCTAACCCTAACCCTAACCCTAACCCTAACCCTAACCCTAACCCCTAACCCTAACCCTAACCCTAACCCTAACCCTAACCCTAACCCTAACCCTAACCCTAACCCTAACCCTAACCCTAACCCTAACCCTAACCCTAACCCTAACCCTAACCCTAACCCTAACCCTAACCCTAACCCTAACCCCTAACCCTAACCCTAACCCTAACCCTAACCCTAACCCTAACCCTAAACCCTAACCCTAACCCTAACCCTAACCCTAACCCTAACCCCTAACCCTAACCCTAACCCTAACCCTAACCCTAACCCTAACCCCTAACCCTAACCCTAACCCTAACCCTAACCCTAACCCTAACCCTAACCCCTAACCCTAACCCTAACCCTAACCCTAACCCTAACCCTAACCCTAACCCTAAACCCTAACCCTAACCCTAACCCTAACCCTAACCCTAACCCTAACCCTAACCCTAAACCCTAACCCTAACCCTAACCCTAACCCTAACCCTAACCCTAACCCTAACCCTAACCCTAACCCTAACCCAGAATCAGGTTCTATGGACTCCCCGTGGCCTGAAACGTGCTCCTAACACAATTCTGGAAGGTGAAAAATTGGGTCCACACTTAGGAAAATCTTGTGATTTTTCTCCAATAACACCAACCCTAACCCTAACCCTAGCTCCAACCCTAACCCTAACCCTAGCTCCAACCCTAACCCTAACCCTAGCTCCAACCCTAACCCTAACCCCTTGCCCAAAGTCTCACCCTAACCCTAACCGTCGGACATGTGCAGCGCCACCTCTGGTCAAAAGCGGTATGACACCCCTTTTTGCAAAGTCGCCCTCAAATGACAGGAAATGGCCTGAAACGTGCTCACAATGCATTTTCAACAGTTCCAGACAAGTACAACACTTGCAAACACTGACTTTGGCCATTTTTCCGCTCCCATTCATTTTCAATGGGAAATTTTCATTTCGCCATAACTTTTGATAGGAATGTCCGATCGCTGGTTCATTAGTATTTCTAGATTCAGCATACCCGAAAATAGGGGGGTAGACCAAATCTCAGCCCGGTTCATCATTGGGAAAGGCAATGAACCGGCATGTCAAAAGTGGCACATATCCCTATATCCTAACCCTAACCCTAACCCTAACCCTAACCCTAACCCTAACCCTAACCCCTAACCCTAACCCTAACCCTAACCCTAACCCTAAACCCTAACCCTAACCCTAACCCTAACCCTAACCCTAACCCTAACCCCTAACCCTAACCCTAACCCTAACCCTAACCCTAACCCCTAACCCTAACCCTAACCCTAACCCTAACCCTAACCCTAACCCTAACCCCTAACCCTAACCCTAACCCTAACCCTAACCCTAACCCTAACCCTAACCCAGAATCAGGTTCTATGGACTCCCCGTGGCCTGAAACGTGCTCCTAACACAATTCTGGAAGGTGAAAAATTGGGTCCACACTTCGGAAAATCTTGTGATTTTTCTCCAATAACACCAACCCTAACCCTAACCCTAGCTCCAACCCTAACCCTAACCCTAGCTCCAACCCTAACCCTAACCCTAGCTCCAACCCTAACCCTAACCCCTTGCCCAAAGTCTCACCCTAACCCTAACCGTCGGACATGTGCAGCGCCACCTCTGGTCAAAAGCGGTATGACACCCCTTTTTGCAAAGTCGCCCTCAAATGACAGGAAATGGCCTGAAACGTGCTCACAATGCATTTTCAACAGTTCCAGACAAGTACAACACTTGCAAACACTGACTTTGGCCATTTTTCCGCTCCCATTCATTTTCAATGGGAAATTTTCATTTCGCCATAACTTTTGATAGGAATGTCCGATCGCTGGTTCATTAGTATTTCTAGATTCAGCATACCCGAAAATAGGGGGTAGACCAAATCTCAGCCCGGTTCATCATTGGGAAAGGCAATGAACCGGCATGTCAAAAGTGGCACATATCCCTATATCCTAACCCTAACCCTAACCCTAACCCTAACCCTAACCCTAACCCCTAACCCTAACCCTAACCCTAACCCTAACCCTAACCCTAACCCTAACCCTAACCCTAACCCTAACCCTAACCCTAACCCCTAACCCTAACCCTAACCCTAACCCTAACCCTAACCCCTAACCCTAACCCTAACCCTAACCCTAACCCTAACCCTAACCCTAACCCCTAACCCTAACCCTAACCCTAACCCTAACCCTAACCCTAACCCTAACCCAGAATCAGGTTCTATGGACTCCCCGTGGCCTGAAACGTGCTCCTAACACAATTCTGGAAGGTGAAAAATTGGGTCCACACTTCGGAAAATCTTGTGATTTTTCTCCAATAACACCAACCCTAACCCTAACCCTAGCTCCAACCCTAACCCTAACCCTAGCTCCAACCCTAACCCTAACCCTAGCTCCAACCCTAACCCTAACCCCTTGCCCAAAGTCTCACCCTAACCCTAACCGTCGGACATGTGCAGCGCCACCTCTGGTCAAAAGCGGTATGACACCCCTTTTTGCAAAGTCGCCCTCAAATGACAGGAAATGGCCTGAAACGTGCTCACAATGCATTTTCAACAGTTCCAGACAAGTACAACACTTGCAAACACTGACTTTGGCCATTTTTCCGCTCCCATTCATTTTCAATGGGAAATTTTCATTTCGCCATAACTTTTGATAGGAATGTCCGATCGCTGGTTCATTAGTATTTCTAGATTCAGCATACCCGAAAATAGGGGGGTAGACCAAATCTCAGCCCGGTTCATCATTGGGAAAGGCAATGAACCGGCATGTCAAAAGTGGCACATATCCCTATATCCTAACCCTAACCCTAACCCTAACCCTAACCCTAACCCTAACCCCTAACCCTAACCCTAACCCTAACCCTAACCCTAACCCCTAACCCTAACCCTAACCCTAACCCTAACCCTAACCCTAACCCCTAACCCTAACCCTAACCCTAACCCTAACCCCTAACCCTAACCCTAACCCTAACCCTAACCCTAACCCTAACCCCTAACCCTAACCCTAACCCTAACCCTAACCCTAACCCTAACCCTAACCCTAACCCAGAATCAGGTTCTATGGACTCCCCGTGGCCTGAAACGTGCTCCTAACACAATTCTGGAAGGTGAAAAATTGGGTCCACACTTCGGAAAATCTTGTGATTTTCTCCAATAACACCAACCCTAACCCTAACCCTAGCTCCAACCCTAACCCTAACCCTAGCTCCAACCCTAACCCTAACCCTAGCTCCAACCCTAACCCTAACCCCTTGCCCAAAGTCTCACCCTAACCCTAACCGTCGGACATGTGCAGCGCCACCTCTGGTCAAAAGCGGTATGACACCCCTTTTTGCAAAGTCGCCCTCAAATGACAGGAAATGGCCTGAAACGTGCTCACAATGCATTTTCAACAGTTCCAGACAAGTACAACACTTGCAAACACTGACTTTGGCCATTTTTCCGCTCCCATTCATTTTCAATGGGAAATTTTCATTTCGCCATAACTTTTGATAGGAATGTCCGATCGCTGGTTCATTAGTATTTCTAGATTCAGCATACCCGAAAATAGGGGGGTAGACCAAATCTCAGCCCGGTTCATCATTGGGAAAGGCAATGAACCGGCATGTCAAAAGTGGCACATATCCCTATATCCTAACCCTAACCCTAACCCTAACCCTAACCCTAACCCTAACCCCTAACCCTAACCCTAACCCTAACCCTAACCCTAACCCTAACCCCTAACCCTAACCCTAACCCTAACCCTAACCCTAACCCTAACCCCTAACCCTAACCCTAACCCTAACCCTAACCCCTAACCCTAACCCTAACCCTAACCCTAACCCTAACCCTAACCCTAACCCCTAACCCTAACCCTAACCCTAACCCTAACCCTAACCCTAACCCTAACCCAGAATCAGGTTCTATGGACTCCCCGTGGCCTGAAACGTGCTCCTAACACAATTCTGGAAGGTGAAAAATTGGGTCCACACTTCGGAAAATCTTGTGATTTTTCTCCAATAACACCAACCCTAACCCTAACCCTAGCTCCAACCCTAACCCTAACCCTAGCTCCAACCCTAACCCTAACCCTAGCTCCAACCCTAACCCTAACCCCTTGCCCAAAGTCTCACCCTAACCCTAACCGTCGGACATGTGCAGCGCCACCTCTGGTCAAAAGCGGTATGACACCCCTTTTTGCAAAGTCGCCCTCAAATGACAGGAAATGGCCTGAAACGTGCTCACAATGCATTTTCAACAGTTCCAGACAAGTACAACACTTGCAAACACTGACTTTGGCCATTTTTCCGCTCCCATTCATTTTCAATGGGAAATTTTCATTTCGCCATAACTTTTGATAGGAATGTCCGATCGCTGGTTCATTAGTATTTCTAGATTCAGCATACCCGAAAATAGGGGGGTAGACCAAATCTCAGCCCGGTTCATCATTGGGAAAGGCAATGAACCGGCATGTCAAAAGTGGCACATATCCCTATATCCTGCCCCAAAGCTCCAACCCCCGAAAACTTCACCCAGAATCAGGTTCTATGGACTCCCCGTGGCCTGAAACGTGCTCCTAACACAATTCTGGAAGGTGAAAAATTGGGTCCACACTTCGGAAAATCTTGTGATTTTTCTCCAATAACACCAACCCTAACCCTAACCCTAGCTCCAACCCTAACCCTAACCCTAGCTCCAACCCTAACCCTAACCCTAGCTCCAACCCTAACCCTAACCCCTTGCCCAAAGTCTCACCCTAACCCTAACCGTCGGACATGTGCAGCGCCACCTCTGGTCAAAAGCGGTATGACACCCCTTTTTGCAAAGTCGCCCTCAAATGACAGGAAATGGCCTGAAACGTGCTCACAATGCATTTTCAACAGTTCCAGACAAGTACAACACTTGCAAACACTGACTTTGGCCATTTTTCCGCTCCCATTCATTTTCAATGGGAAATTTTCATTTCGCCATAACTTTTGATAGGAATGTCCGATCGCTGGTTCATTAGTATTTCTAGATTCAGCATACCCGAAAATAGGGGGGTAGACCAAATCTCAGCCCGGTTCATCATTGGGAAAGGCAATGAACCGGCATGTCAAAAGTGGCACATATCCCTATATCCTAACCCTAACCCTAACCCCTAACCCTAACCCTAACCCTAACCCTAACCCCTAACCCTAACCCTAACCCTAACCCTAACCCCTAACCCTAACCCTAACCCTAACCCTAACCCCTAACCCTAACCCTAACCCTAACCCTAACCCTAACCCTAACCCTAACCGTGCACCTCCTGTCTCCTATCCTAGGAGACAGTCCCCCTTTTCCCGTAACCCTAACCCTAACCCTAACCCTAACCCTAACCCTAACCCTAACCCTAACCCCAACCCCAACCCCAACCCTAACCCTAACCCCTAACCCTAACCCTAACCCTAACCCTAACCCTAACCCCTAACCCTAACCCTAACCCTAACCCTAACCCTAACCCCTAACCCCCTAACCCTAACCCCTAACCCTAACCCTAACCCCTAACCCTAACCCTAACCCTAACCCCAACCCTAACCCTAACCCTAACCCTAACCCTAACCCTAACCCTAACCCTAACCCTAACCCTAACCCTAACCCTAACCCTAACCCTAACCCTAACCCCTAACCCTAACCCCTAACCCTAACCCTAACCCCAGCACTAACCCTAACCTGGGAATCTAACCCTAACCCTAACCCTAGTATGGGATTCTAACCCTAACCTGGGACTCGCCCTAACCCTAACCATTAGAGGCAACTTAATGACCGACGGCCAAGCAGGCCACAGAGGTCAAAGGTCAAGCAGGACCATATACCTATTAATATGTTTATTAAAGCACAAATATGTGAATAAACATAATTAATACGGATTTAAAGCACAAACAGGTGCATAAAGGGTTAAGATTGTAAAAACTAAATAGAGCAGAAAATAACTTAAATATAAGTAAATTCATTCTAATTTTTAGCTGAGGGAATATAAAAGGGAGAAAAGTGGGTAGGGCTTTTCATTTTCATTTCTGTTCGGCTGCTGGCTGGTTCACCCCTATGAATTGGGGCCCAGCAGCCTTAGCTGTTACATGTGCATAGACCTGATGAAGACCAAACTAGGTCGAAACGTCGTCGCGGTGCACACATCATATACATAGTTCAAGTAGTGTTCATGTATGTTTGTTTGTTTGTGTGTTTGTGTGTAAACAACAGTTAAAAACCTAAAAAAATGGATTAATTTAACAAATATGAATTACACAACACACTAAAACTAATTTATTAAAAACAATTTAATTCATAACACAAATAAGTGTCTTCTGGGACCGGGGGAGCGTGTCCAGTGGGCGAAGGCCCGTGCATTCCCCGCTCCCCGCCGACCCAAGTAGGGCAATTTAGGGGAGACGGGATTCTTTCCCAAAACCTTACCCGCCAGTGCCTCGTCCATCTCTGGTGCGTTTCCTCGGTCCCGGATCTGCAAAGCCTAAAAACAGTGCTACTTACCTTAACCCTGATCCTGGCGCTTCATCATTTCCCGCTCCCCGCAGACCCAAGTAGGGTCACGTTAGAGCCCCAGAGATCATTTCTAGCCCAACCGTGGACCTGGCCCTAACCCTAACCATTATGAGGGCCCTAACCCTAACCCTAGTGCTATCCCGCTCCCCGCAGACCCAAGTAGGGTCACTATAGGAGAGACGGGATTCATTTCTAGCCCCAGCCGTGGCTCTGGCCCTAACCCTAACCATTATGAAAGGGCCCTAACCCTAACCCTAGCGCCATCTAGCCCCAATCGTGGCCTTAACCCTAACCCTAACCCTAACCCTAACCCTCGGATTTGAACCCTAACCCTAATACTGACCCTAACCCTAACTCTACTGGTCAGTTTAAAACCAAACAGCGATTATAGGGTTAACATTTACAAACTAAATAAAGTTGAATTTAAACTAAATATCCGAGAGAAATTCAGTTAATTTCTTGTCCAAAGGGTATAAAAGGGAATACAGGACAGGGAAAATTCATTTTCTTTTGGCTGCTTGCTGGGTGAACCCCTATGAATTGGGGCCCAGCAGCCATTATGTGTGCATAGACCTGATGAAGACCAAACTAGGTCGAAACGTCGTCGCGGTGCACACATCATATACATAGTTCAAGTAGTGTTCATGTATGTTTGTTTGTTTGTGTGTTTGTGTGTAAACAACAGTTAAAAACCTAAAAAAATGGATTAATTTAACAAATATGAATTACACAACACACTAAAACTAATTTATTAAAAACAATTTAATTCATAACACAAATAAGTGTCTTCTGGGACCGGGGGAGCGTGTCCAGTGGGCGAAGGCCCGTGCATTCCCCGCTCCCCGCCGACCCAAGTAGGGCAATTTAGGGGAGACGGGATTCTTTCCCAAAACCTTACCCGCCAGTGCCTCGTCCATCTCTGGTGCGTTTCCTCGGTCCCGGATCTGCAAAGCCTAAAAACAGTGCTACTTACCTTAACCCTGATCCTGGCGCTTCATCATTTCCCGCTCCCCGCAGACCCAAGTAGGGTCACGTTAGGAGAGACGGGAATCATTTCTAGCCCCAACCGTGGACCTGGCCCTAACCCTAACCATTATG